ATGTAATTGGAGTTTGAATTTAAATTTCAATTTGAGTTTGAATTTCAATATAAATTTCGGCTCCACTATAAATATTAGCCCAAGCCAATATGCATGTTATCATTGATTATTTCTAATTTCCATTGTTTTTTTTTCAACTTTAAACGCGAGGAAAATCTCGACCATCGTAATTTTTGGTCAACTTTAAAGTGTCAGAAACGTTTCGGGTGTATGATCTGGGTGGTATACGAGAAATGCAACAAATGGCAACTAAAAATCCTGATAATTGAGGGCTACAACTTGTAATAATAACAAAAATAATAAGTCTGAAATGCTTCCGAGTACCACCCAAATCATAAGTCCGAAATGCTTCCGATGCTCATCAAAATCCAAAGCTCATATGGTGCCAAGCAAAAGGAAATCAAAATCCAAATCTCATATGGTGCCAAGCAAAAGGAAATCAAAATCCAAATCTCATATGGTGCCAAGCAAAAGGAAATCAAAATCTACAACTTGAGTTTGAACATTGCTATGATCTGTTCAGTTGTTATCATGTTGGGATTTTCTTTTGTGTTTGATTGCTTGGATAGTTGTTCTCTTGCTTCTTCAAGTGTCCTTAGCTTGTATTTATAGCTTGGAATGTGTTTGATGTTATATATACCTTGATGTTGTATGTTGCGATCAACGTGAAAGTCAAATTTGCAATGCGAAATAAGCGTTGCGATAGTCAAATTCGCAAACCGAAAATCGCGTTGCGAATTTGACTATTGCAACGCTTATTTCGCATTGCGAATTTGACTTTCGCGTTGCGAATTTGACTATCGCAACGCTTATTTCGCGTTGCGAATTTAACTTTTGCGTTGCGAATTTGTACCTTCAACAGGTCTTTTTTGCCTTCAAACATAATGCAGATTGAATTTTTTAGAAAAACAAATCAACTTTTACAAATCAATTAAACAAGCAAAAAAATAATTCTTATTTACACATCAAATTAAACAAATCAACTTTTACAAATCAATTAATAAAAAAATAAATTTTATTTCCTCATCAATTAAACAAATCAACTTTCAATGTAAAATTCAATTAAACAAAGCAAAAAAAGTGTACCCCAGACTGTTGTTTATGCACAAATACATTAATTTCATGCATCTCACTTCAGGATTAACCTGCAGAAACCAAACATTTGCTCAAACAACACTTTCTACACATCTAAAACCAACAAACAACAAATTACTGAATTCTAGGTACTTAACCAAATATTTTCAAACCAATTAAAGAGTATATATGTTAACAACACTTTCTCAAACTTACCAATTGTTTATGTACACTTTCAGCACGCGGATGCAGGTAGGCAACGTCTCGTATATATCGATCTGGCCATATAATGTCGAAACCACAAGCCTATTGCACCTCTATCTCTATCTGTGGGAGGTAGATACTGTTTACTTCCTATCGTCAAACGTTCCAAGCACAAGCATACGAGAGGACCACAATCCCCTCTGGCTCCCTGCGTTTGTTGTGGCGCAGTCTCGTCTCTGATCATTGTAATTTTGAACTTCTTTGGCTTATTGTTTCCAGAATTTGTTCAATAATCAATCGCATCCAAGTATTTAGCCAAATGATCGCTCCATCCCTTTGTAATAATATCTCTCAAATCAGACAATGGTATGTAATTCAACATGCTGTCATATGCCATTGTCTTCAGGGATGGGAGCTGAAGCTCGACGAGAAGCCAATAACGATGTTCCAAAACAGTGATAAACACCTGCAATCATAAATAATTGCACACATCAAATAAAATTTATGAAAACCTTTAAAATATTCAAAAAATAAATACTAACCTTATCAACCTCCCACCACACAGGATAAAGTTTAGCATTTCCATTACCCAACGTATATGAAGCATCTCTCTGATCCTTCAAGTTAGCTGCGTGAAAAGACGTCAGCATAATAGTCCATCAAGTATTTCTTTTCCTCACTTTCCTTATTATTAGAAGACGTGACACCCATGCATCAATATGTTGTTTTATAAAAAAATAAATATATTAGTGAATTTATTAATAATTTAAAAAAAATTAATCAAAATGCAATATAAGAAGATTATAAGACTTATTACCCCTTCGAGATAGTCATTATCTTTAACCCCTAATAAAATACCCCACCAAGACCGATCAAGAAACAAATGAATAACATCGTCGATTTGGCATAGGTCAGAATAACACCTCTTGCTTTACTCATGTAGATAAAAATCAACTGCGGTCTTAGCCCAAAGGGTATTATCCGTAATTGTGTCCGGTATTGTTTCCCTCTCCTGCTGAGGAATAGTACTAACCGGTAACACATACAAAAGCCAACTCGCATCCATCATATCGGGCACGGGAGGAGGTTTATCAATATGTCGACTTATGACGCCATGTGAATCGGGCTCTTGAACGGCGGGCGGGACCTCTTGAACGATGATAGGGGCCTCTTGAACGGTAGGAGGGGCTTCTTCGATGATGAGAGAGGCCTCTTGAATGATAGGAGATGCCTCTTGAATGATGATAGGTGTATCGGGCTTATTCTTACGGAGTCTTGGCACTAGTGGGGTGAACGGAGACTTAATGGCACGTGTACGACGTCTGATGCGTAAACCTCGTCATGCAAGAAAAACCTGACGTAAAGTATCTACCTTATCGGGTCGCTAAAAATAAATTAATACATAAATCAGTAAATAAATAAATAAATAATGCCAAAAAAAGGTTATTTGCATTTTTAGTATAGTATTAAACAAATTTACCGCATTGCGTAGAGTATGAACCTTATTCTGCAACAATGAAACAATCTCGCGTAGAGCGGCAACCTCATCATGTAAAGTAGATACCTCACTGCGTAGCGCACCATTGTCATCACGTAAAAAATCCACCTCACCACGTAAAGATCGAACCTCATCACGTCATACACCATTATCTTCACGTAAAGTATCGAACTCATGATGCAAAGTACCGAACTCATGACGCAAAACACCGACCTCATCACGTAATTCCCCTAACTCTTCCCGTGGAGGTAGAGAATAGGGAGATAAATGTCGTGGCCTCTTTGCCGGTTGCCTATCATGAGGTGATGATGGAGAAGAGGCTCGATCAGGTGATGGCTCCAGGTCTCGAGCTGTAGAATCGGCCCGATCAGGTGATGGCTCTCGAGGTGGGAGGTGCTCATCATCCGTCCCATCAAAAAACCGCTTACTAGCTTGCCACCAATCAGTGGCAAGCTCAGCCTCTGTGGGTGTCAGCCTCTGTAATGGATAGTTGGCCTCCTAACAATATAAAAGCTCAAACAAAGTTAAACTTGTACTAGTAATAACTTGTTTATATATGGTATTATTTGTGTGTTAACTTACATCATTCATCGTCGTATATGGGAGTAACTCTTACCAATCCAACATGCGGATCCTCTTTCAGGTAATAGCCCTAGGAATATCATTTGATCTTTTTATCGCATATGTCTACAAGCTGGGGAAAGCCTCAAATATCCAAATCTACAAACAATATAATACACAAACATTAGTAATTGTTAAATAATTAATTATAATTTTGGAAACATTATATAGAAATTCTTACCTTAAAGGCCCAAGTAAAGCCTATCAAAGTGTTTTTAGAACCATCGCCCCGCAAACTTTTTTCGGTCCTCAAAGGCAGACGACAACTTCTTCCAGGTAGCTTTCCATAGATATGAACCCCACGGAAACAGGTTCCATGCATTTAGCTCCTCTACCAATAATATATTAGGTCCTCGAAGATAGGTTGTCTGCCCTTTTTGCCTAAAAAGCCGGCATGGAAAAGTAATAAATGGCATACTCGGACAACATCAAGGTCATCCATCCGAGTAAAACCATCTTTATCAAATAAATTTTTCAAGTCGTCGACGTGTAAACACGGCTTCGACTTTGCCAGCTCAGGAAAAACCCAAGATAACCATGATAGGCGGGCGATATGACTAGTGTACCGACCTACATCATCGTGTCCGAAGCGTAGAGCAGTGATTAAGCAAAACTCCTCCCGCCCAAAACAAGTATGTGCCGGAGGAAAATGAAACCATATCTCCTCATCACCACGTTGTATCCCCTCGGGTAGATCGTTAGTCATGGTCTAAAGAAACAAATGTGTCAACATAGCATCTCCACCCATATGTTGCATTTTCAGCCATGGCCCGAAGCAAGTATCCTCAAATAATTTTCCTTGTAGAGGTGTAAGCGTCGACGCAATTTTAGTGGCTAGGCTTAATTTATTCCTTAAGATCAATGCAGCAAAATTTTTTTTCTACAAAAACAATAAACATACAGTTAGATATACCAAAAACTACAAATTATACACTATAAACAGACATGATATTAAACAGTGAAAACAAAGCCAAATATGTTTCAAACTAGCACGGTATTCACCCAAGTCATTATTCCATCATAGTTCACAAAATGCATCAGATAACATTCCAGAAGTAAGCACTTATATAAACATTTAAAAGGACAACATATAGGTTTTTTGTAGGTTCAAAGACAACATAAAGAGTAGTAGTTTATTCTTGAAACTTAAATTAGCAACACTGTGAAGTTAGTATTTGTCTTTGTTTTTTGGTTGAAGTAATGCAATTCATTCAAGTTCAATTTGCAGAATAAAAGAAGTTTCTGAAACTTAAATTCGCAACGCGAAAATGAAAATCGCAACGCGAAACTAAAATCGCGTTGCGATTTTCATTTTCGCGTTGCGAATTTGGTATTGCGATTTAGGGTTTCTTCAACAAAAAACAAAACAAAGATAAATACTAACTTCACAGGGTTAAAGACTAAACAGTTTAGCAGTATTGGCAGCAACCGAATGAATTTACTAAGCAATCTCAGTGAAATGATTAATCTATATATATTGAAATTACCAGTAAATTTATCATCAATATAAGAAAAATCTAATAATAATACAAAAATTTCAAAATAAAAATAAGAGATTAAAAAAACTAACCCTCAGTGGTTGATTTTTTATTTCTGACCGTGAATGGTTGTGAGGGTTGCTATGAGAGATGGAAATAGACGGATTTCGTCGGAGATGGGAACGGATGTCGACGTAGAGAGTGAGAGATAGAAATGAGACTGAGTTGTGATTTAGGGTTTTAGGTTAGAGATGATTTGCGATAATATTGTTTACATTTGTATTGCGAAATTAATATTGTGTTTCGCGTAAAAACATTTGACTTTCGCGTTACGAATTTGACTATCGCGTTGCGAATTTGACTTATGTGTTGCTATTTACAAATTCGCACACGAATTTGACTTCTGTGTTGCGAATTTGACTATCGCGTTGCGAATTTGACTTTCGTGTTGCGAATTTGACTTCTGTGTTGCGATTTACAAATTCGCGTTGCGAAATTGGAAACTGAGTTGCGAAATTGGAGTTCGCGTTGCGAATTTGTTGGTCATTTTGACAAATCTAAAAAAATAGTTAAATTCGTATATTATAAGACATTTTCGGTAAGTGATTTTCTTATAAAATAATTTGGTAGTTACAAAAAGGAAATTGATTCTTTGGGTACACCGTACACAAATAAATACAGGGAAACAGACACCGGAAATGAGAGTACCTCCAAGTGACTAAACACGCGAATATGGAGCGCGTGCGTAGAAAATAAAAGGCTATGCCACGGGCCCTGTCATGCTTTGCCGCTAGCAGTCCCCTTGAACCTCTGCCAACTTACAGCAGTTTACTGCTTCGTCATTGGACGGTGCTTTTTACTTGCGTATGAAATGAAAAGCGTAGAATGATCATTTACCAATGCGTACTTCATTTTCTAGTATATCTACGAACTGCCCCCTTTAGTTAATTAATTCATTATTTAATTATAAAACATACAGTAGTATTTTTAAATCAATTATTAAACATATATGAACAATGATAAACATATATTGATCGGTTTAATATACTGTAATTGATTTTTTAAAAAATAATTTATGTAAAAATATTTTTATTGTGTAAAATAAATTATTAGAAAAATTATTTTACGTAAAATGAATTATATTTACTAAAAAACTAATTTTTAGAAACTATTGTAAGTGTTTTGATGATATCATGTAAACCAATTTTCACTATTTGATACATTGTAATTAATTTTATGAAAAATGATTTACATAAACCGAATTATCTGAAAACTAGTTTACGTAAAATGAATTATTGAAAAATAATTTTTTTTTAAAATATTTTATGGTGTTTAGATGATGTTATGTAAATCATTTCTCGTTTATAATTTTTATATTATAAATATCAAATATAATAATTTATTATTTGACCTTAAAGAATAACAATAATTCATTTATCACCAAAGTTGTTTGATTTGTGTATTATTATGTTAATATTAAATATATAAAATAATAATATTCATCATTAATAATTTAATAATATTATTTTTATAAAAATAATATATAATATTAATTATATTAGTAATTTATTATATATTATTAAATTAAAAATATAACATCATGCATTGTTATAATATAATATAATCTAGTATATATTAATATAATATTAAAAAATATAATATTATTCAATTATATTAGATGTAGTAAATATTTTAATAATTAATATTTTATTAAAATGATATTAAAATATTATATTAATATTAAATATATAAAATAATATTATTTTAAGTGTTTATACTTTGAAGTGAAAAATTAATAAAATATTTTATAGAAAATCAGATGGTAAAACATTTTACAGAAAATACCAAGAAACTAAGAAAATAATTTATATTGAGAAAAACAAATTACAACAATCAAATGTTAAAAAATATTCTCCTTAAAACTAATTACAGTTATCAAATACAAAAAAATATTTTTCGGAAAATATTTTCAAGTTATTAAACACAGCCTAATTTTATGTTGAAAGATAAAATTAATAAATTTTAAAGAAAAATACATTTATAAAATTTTAAGAAAAGAAAAATAAATTATTAATAAAAATATAAAAAAAAATTGTAAAAATATGAGAAAACTTGAGGAATGCTTTCACTGGTCCTCAATCCATTTCGAATATAAATATAAGTGATTATAGAAATAAAATGTTCAAATTAAATATTATTAAATTAATATGTAAAATAAAAAAATTGACAGAAGAATGTGTAGGAATACAGTAGGGGTTGTTCTTACTGCACTGGCTACGAGTAGTGTGTATGGAAACGAAAAAGAAAGAATAATAAAATGATAAAAGGTGGTTAAAAAGAAAAAGGAAACTAATGGAGGGGAAGGGTGGATATTGAAAGACATGGAGAATCCCAATGCTCAGATTTTAGATTAAGAAAGATAGAAGAAGACACTTACTGTCGGACACTCTCTCTCTCTCTTTCTCTCTGATACGACATACCATGGCGGACCAAATGTCTGATGACGACGAAAGCCGGCAATCTCCGCAGTCGGATCTTGATTTCACTTCCAACAAGGCGAGGAACTGCATCGCGACCGGGTCGGTGTCTGGTCATCCCGAGTTCCGGTTACCGTATCCGGATCAGGTTCTGGAGAACGTGTTGGAAAACGTCCTCCACTTCCTCCCGTCGAGGCGGGACCGGAACGCCGCCTCATTGGTGTGCAAGTCGTGGTATCGCGTGGAGGCGCTCACCCGATCCGAGCTTTTCATAGGGAACTGCTACGCGGTTTCGCCGACTCGGGCCACCTCTAGGTTTCCCAGGGCGAGAGCACTTCATCTGAAAGGGAAGCCCAGGTTCGCGGACTTCAATCTTATGCCTCCCGATTGGGGTGCCCACTTCAATCCTTGGCTGCTGTCTTTCGCCAAGGCCTTCCCTTGGCTGGAAAAAGTTTACCTGAAGCGTATGTCCGTGACGAACGATGATCTGGCTACAATGGCCGAGTCATTTTCGGGGTTTAAGGATCTCGTTCTCGTTTGCTGTGATGGATTTGGAACTAGTGGCCTCGCCATTTTTGTTAGCAAGTGCAGGTATTGTTCTTTTTATTTTTCCAAAATTTTATTTTGATGATTACAATGCTATGTGTATATAATTAACAGACTTATTCGATCTGTTAAAGGCGTTAAGAGTACTGATTTATTGTTTATTTGCTATGGGACTAAGAAATGCTATTCATTTCTACTGAGATTTTTGGTTGATCTGATGCTTGTGTTTTTTAGACTGAATGTTTTTAGATCTATTATGATTGCCCTTGATCTGGGTATTGGTTGGAGGATGTAAAAATTTATGGAAACTTGATTGATGTATTTTTATATTTGCAGAGAGCTTAGGGTGCTTGATCTGATCGAATCCGAGGTTGCAGATGATGAGACAGATTGGATATCCTGTTTCCCTGAGTGTGAATCGCAGCTCGAGTCATTGATATTTGATTGTGTAGAATCCCCGATAAATTTCGAGGCACTAGAAAAGCTGGTGGCTAGATCTCCTTCACTTAAGAAGCTTAAGCTAAATCGACATGTTTCAATTGGACAGCTATACCAATTGATGGTTCAAGCTCCACAGGTCACACACCTTGGGACAGGGTCCTTTAGCCCATTAGAGGTTGATATGCAAGATGATCAAGAACCAGATTATGTCACCGCTTTTGCTGACTGCAAATCTTTAGTTTGCCTCTCCGGGTTTAGGGAAATAGTTCCAGATTATCTACCTGCAGTTTACCCTATTTGTGCAAACCTCACATCTCTGAATTTCAGCTATGCCAACATAACTGCTGAACAACTTAAGCCAATTATAAGCAACTGCCACAAGCTTCAGGTTTTTTGGGTATGCTATTCAATATTTTGTTCTGTACAAGCTCTGTGAAGAAATAAGTGCTTTGATGCTTACCTTAGCTTTCATTATGCAGGTCCTTGATTCAATTCGCGATGAGGGACTTCAAGCAGTGGCTGCAACATGTAAGGAATTACGTGAGCTTCGGGTTTTCCCCGTTGATGCTCGGGAGGATAGTGATGGCCTTGTTTCTGAAGTGGGCCTCCAAGCTATTTCTGAGGATTGTAGGAAATTGCAATCTATTCTGTATTTCTGCCAGAGGATGACTAATGCAGCTGTTATAGCAATGTCCAAAAACTGCCCAGATCTTGCTGTTTTCCGGCTGTGCATAATGGGACGTCACAGGCCTGATCATGTGACTGGGGAACCTATGGACGATGGTTTTGGAGCCATTGTTAAGAATTGTAAGAAGCTCACTCGCCTTGCTGTATCTGGTTTACTGACAGATAAAGCTTTCGAGTATATTGGAAGATATGGGAAATTGGTAAGCACATTGTCAGTGGCTTTTGCTGGAGACAGTGACATGGGACTTAAATATGTGCTTGAGGGCTGTCCACAATTGAAGAAGCTTGAAATTAGAGATAGTCCATTTGGTGACGCTGCACTGTGTTCCGGTTTGCATCACTACTATAACATGAGGTTCCTTTGGATGTCTTCATGTAGAGTAACTCGTCAAGGTTGCCAGCAGATTGCTTGTGCCATGGCTCGCCTAGTGGTTGAAGTGATTAGATCCGCTGATGAGGAAGACATGGATGACTGTGTTGAAACATTATACATGTATCGATCTCTTGTAGGGCCAAGAAATGATGCACCGAAAATCGTGACCATCTTGTAGGCAAATGTGGTGCGGAAAGCTATTTGATTTTTCTCACTGTGGAACCAAATACCAAGCAAGTTAAACTATCTCACGGGGAATTTCGATATGCTCATGTGGTGCATCTCTCAAGTATATGTGAAGGTCCCAACATTCCCACAAGCAAAGTTGCGTAAATAACATCCGGTTCAGGCTCGGGCTGATACAATGGAATTGAAAGAAAACTCCCGGTGAGAGACGGCTTTCTCTTTGGATTGGTTCTTTTGAAGGACTTCAGATAAGGACTAGTGCAGAAAATTGATGTCTTTGCAAGCTTTTGGACCATTAGATGTTGTTCTGGTGCTGGTGGTGCGCATTTAAATTTTTATGTTTCTTTTGTTTATTTCATATTCATTTTATCTTAGTCTAAGTTGGCGAGAGAAGGGAGGTTATCGAACAAAAATGGAGGGGCAAATACGTGTTTTTGGGCCAAATTGCCTTGTCCTTTGATGGAGGTATGAGATGATTGTTGAAGATTCTGAGACTTGAAATATATTTGAGAATTGAAAACTTAGGGGTTTGAAGAAAAAGAAAGTGGGGTAGTCACCCTTGCCATCAAATTGGCCTTTCACAAAAAGTAGTATCAGACATCATCTCAGGCTAAGCTGCTCAAAAGAAATTGAAAAGGAATCTCAGACCCTTATGTTTAGGCTTAATTAGAAAATAAGTGTTAAAATTATATCATTTTTTTTAAAAAAAGTGTTTATTTTTTTTCCGATTCATCTAAATATCTAACGTTATAAATATTATCATTTTAAATGTCTTGATAGTAACTGTTATTAAAAAGTTCGTTAAGTGACACAAGTCTTGTTCTAATAATTTTAAATTTAAGGTTTAATAGAAAAATAAGTGTTGAACTTTGCTTCAAAAAACGTTTTGGTGTATGAAGGAATTTTCGCTATAAATTGGTACCTAACGTTTTCTCAGTTATACTTTTAGATGTCTATCATTAAATTTGGTAGTTAAGTGACACGTGTCAATCTTTGGTAATTTTGAGAGTTTATTTTAAAAAATGAAAAATAAAAATATTTTTTATTAAAAAAACCACGTGAAACCCCTTCTCCCTTCCCCTTTCCTTCATTAGCACCAGTGTCTACCCCCAATTAAACCCCGTTGGCCTTTCTTCATAAGCTACCACTGTTTGTCGTGGAGAAACATTTAAAGGTTCGTCGGATTTTAAGTCACCGTCACTGTTTTTCGTAGATTCTGGCTGATCCCAAATGTCCATAAGCCACATCCCTATCACCATTCGAATCACCGTGCAATTCCTCTCAAAACCCATACTCGTCGTCGCTCCGTCGGTGCTCTTCCAGTGTTCAATCGTGGAGATTAAGATTTTAAAGGTTTAGAAATTTGGATATTTGAGATTTTAGAGATTTAGGGAATTTGTGTGATGGAAAGGGCTACGGTTGAACAATGGGTAGATGACGACGGGTGGGTAACCCTTTAGCGATGACGATGGTAGTTGGGAATGATTGACAACGGTTGGTAATGAGGTTGAAATGAGAGATTTTAATTTTATTAGAGTTTTTTATAATTTTAGTAAAAAAATTCATATTTTTATAAATAAATTAAGTTTCTTTAGTTTTTTAATTAAAAATATTATTTTTATTATTAAAAATTAAAAAATATAACGATAGACACCTAAAAATATAACTGAGAAAACAATAGACATCAATTTTTAATGAAAATTTATTATTTAGAGGCTTAAATATTTCTGAAGCAAAATTCCTGCACTTACTTTTATATTAAGCCTAAATTTTAAAAAGAACATAAAAACCGTTTTTTAAAATTCCCACGTTCCCCCTTCCGACCCACGTGCCCTCCTCTCCCCAAACCCCTACTAAAACAATCCTGAAACCTCCAATTGATTGGAACAATGAATAAAAGTAACGGTGGCCAATGAACTTTATATTCCAGATTAAGGGTGACCGACGATTATTACTAGGATTTAAGGATTGTGTATGTGAATTATATTGATTTGAGAATTTTAGATTTTGAGATGATCCTAATTGGGTTATAGTCGGTCAATGGATAATCGATAACGTATGGGGTTCTCGTTTTTCGACGGATGTATTATTAGAGATGACCAATAATTAAAGTAAAGGAGAGTAAGATAAGAGATTTTAAGAATTTGAGGTTATTTTTTAAACTTAAATTTTCTAGGGTTGATTTTAGGGGTTGTTAGGGTTAGGGTTTTTAAACTTTTAAAAAAAAATTAAAATTACTAAAATGTGACATGTGTTATTTAACGGGATTTTTAATTGTTGTTAAGATTGAGAAACCTAAAGTGATAACATTTATAATGTTTGACACCTAGATTGATCGAAAAAAAATTTAGACACATCTCTAAAAAAGTATTATAATTTGACCACTTAATTTCTAATCAAGACTTACTTTTGTTTTTCAGGGCGTTACCCTCTTTAACATGAAATAAATCTCAAAGCTTGCTCACCAGATTAATTTGAATGAAAATAAAGGTTGCCTAAGGTGCTGTTTGTTTGGCTCTGAATGGAATCATTCAGTGCTGAATACTGAACCGTTCAACATTTAGATTGCTTGTTTCTCACCTTTGAATGATTCTGACTGATTCAGCAAAACAGTGCAGAATGATTCGGCACAGAAGTACATTCTGAATGATTCAGAGCCATTATCAAACAACATGTCACGTAGCTATTCATACAGAGCCTCTGAATCATTCAGTATTTGAATCATTCAACGCTTAATCATTATAAAGTAAACAAACAACCCCTAACTCTTTCCCTTTTCCGTTCTTCTAAAATATCCTACGATGCAGACTTTGTCATGGAAAAATAAGAAAATTGGAAACCAAGACGCTCCTATTCTAGGGCAGTGTATGATTACAAACAAAGGGTCCTCCCTTATAGTTATCAAACGGTAAACACTCGAGTTCTAATCATGAAAAATTGGAATACAAGGAAGGAAAGTTTAATGAAGTGGCTTACCATCATGTTGTTGTGAGCATCGAGCCATTCGGGTACTTATAACCGCCGAATCAAAGGAGTGATGATCTACAAGTTACGATGGTGACTTTAACAAAGGAAATGGATAAACCCAAGACTGAACTACTCATTAGGAAGACGAGACTTGATCTAAGTTAAGGCATCTAAGACATGATAGAATTGTAGGAGAGTATGTACGAGTTGATACTCCATGTCCCAAAGGCCTCCAAAGCCGTCAAATATCGTGGTTGTGTTGGACCAATAGCATACACTTCCTAGTCAAATGTTTACTAACATCCCGAAAGTCTACGATGTCATGTTCATGAGAATTCCAAAAATATGTTATTTGAGAAGTTCTACAGTGCGACACCTTTAATATACAGTTAAAAAAAGATATTACCAATTTCGTTAATATTTAAATAACAAAACCGATAAAAAAATTACTTAAAACATTATTATTTCTACTTAAAACATCAATATTTTTTAACATTTCTAGTAAAGTGCCCAACAATAACATTATAATTTCCCATGTTATCCAATGCAAGGTTACGGGGATAAAGCAAAAGATTTTATGGTGCTTGAAGAAATTTTAACAAAAGACAATCTAATTTAAAATTAAATAATGATGGAAAATGAACGTAATAAAAATATGATAAAATTATAATATTTCTCGTTGGACACAACCTAGAATGCTAATTTTTTTTCTAACATTTATAATAATATATATATATATAAATCTTAATATTATTTATAAAATTGTAAAATATATTTTAATAATATTTATATCAATATATTTAAAGATTATTATACTGTTTACAAATATTATTATTTAATTTTTAATAATGAGTAATATTAATTTATATATTTAATATTAATATAATATTTTTAGTATTTGAAAAGATATTATAATATTTAAAACATATTTAGTAATATAAATTTTATTTTAATAAATAAATAAAATTTAAAATTTTGTGAAAATATTTTAATCTTAATATTTTATTAATAAAAATAATATTTTAATAAATATAACCTTCTAAAAATAAAAATATTTAATTTTTTTATAATAAATAATGAGTATTATTTATTATATTTGGTATTCATCCAATTTTGGCCTAAATATAAAATCAACCAAAAGTCGATGTCGTAAAAAGAATTCTACCTAAAATCCAAAAAGAATCTAGAACCGCACGATTATAAACTTTCAAACCGGCGACCTTTCGTGTTAATTTTTACGGGTTTTTCCCTTTACTCAGCTCCAAGTGTTGTTTAAAGGCCCTTTTTGCTTATTTACGCTCGTTCGATTCGATGGCGTTTACTTCGAACCGAACCGGTGGCGATTCCTTCTACGGTGGTGCGATTCCTTACCGATCAAGGTCTAATTTTATTTTGTTGAATTTCTTTTTATTCAATTATTTTTTAATTAGAATCGAGTTTAGAATTTATTTAGGTTTCCTTTTTTTTTCTTAGTTTGTCTGAGCCAATTTTAATTTGTTGTTAATATTGAAATAGGGAGGGTTTAAGCACGAGACCTGTGGCTAGTTCCGATGAAATACAATTGCGGATTGATCCGATGTATGGCGAATTGGACGATGAGATCTCCGGTCTCCGTAGCCAAGTTAAACAATTGAGAAATGTAAGACCTTTTCATTTATTGATTGATTTTTTCTAGTTTCATATTCTATGATTCATTTGATATTTCTTTCAATTCCATGTAGAATATCATAACACAAACTCAGCTATAATGGCTATTAATGCTTCTGATCAGTTCATAATCTTACGCCCAGGTTTATCTAATCTCAATCCTTGAGTTCCAATCTATGCATCTGAATATTGATATTCCTGGTTATTAGTTGTAGATGTTCAGGAGATTAATCAATGCTAAAGATAGATTAAAATAATTAATTGTTGTTGTGCGATAACTTAATATAAAGTTAAAAAATTAGTGATTTTGGACGTAACCGAAAATATGGTAAAAATTATAACATTTTTAAGTTGATCAAAATCTAAAATGTTCCATTCTCTATAATATTTTTATATTGGATGAAGTGCATAAAGGATTTTGATATGATTTTTCACCTTCCTTAGTTTGGCTTTAAGCTAAAATCTGAGTTTAATTATTCCTTTGGATATCTTTCAGTTCTCTGTAGATGTCGTGAGTTGTGATAATATTATCATTGTTTATTTGGCCCATTTTCTTTCACATTGAAAATCAAATTTAAGCCAATGTTTATAAATATCAAACGCCACTTTGAATTGAGATAAACAACGCTCATGAGAATTTATCGTCTAATGACATTTAATACTATTTTTCTTTTTCTTTTGGGAGTTTTGTCTGTAATTCTATTTCTTTTTTGTAAGGACTTGTAATTTGACACTAAAAGTGAATTTTGGCTTCGGTTTTTTACCTCTCTTTTATTATTCTCTGGAGGGAGGGTTCTTTTCCTCTCTATTCGTTCTCTACCTTTAACTAGCTAAATTCTGTTAATCTTAAATATGGTGCAGGTTGCTCAAGAGATAGGATCGGAAGCCAAATTTCAGAAGGACTTTTTAGATCAGCTGGTATCATTACA